ACGATAATGAACAAATAACACTGCAATTTGTTATTTTATACATCTTTGAAATAATTTATAATTAGAATTATATAAGGACCATTTATAATTATTATGGGTTACCCATCGTAATTAACTTGAAGTCTCAATTATTTCACATGTTTCCAAATATTTCAATCTGTCTAACTTCATGGGTTCTAGGGTAAATGGTTTTCAAATAGTACCAATCGTTGACCGAGAAGCGTCAATATAAAATGTAAATTTGTCAAGAAGGTAATTAATTTTTCAGGAGGATTACTCTTTTTGAACCTATAAAACCTGATGTCTGTGTAATTTTGTTAAGCTAGTAAAACCTGTATAAATAGACACTTATGTACACGAGATTTACGAAAGTAACTTATACACGTTATATATAAAAGAACCGCATTTAAAAAAAAAACAAATCTGGAAAATTTCAAATCTCTCATTCTCTGGAATAAATTCTATCCAAACCTTCATGTTTTCCACGCTTTACATCATCATACTACATGTACAAATTAAAAGCCCGTCTTAAAGAAACAATCCATAATAAATTTCTCCTGACACATAATACCACACGCTTCAAATGTATTATTTTGGGAATAATTTGGAATGTTTTGTGAAAAATGATCCCACAAATATAACATGCTACACCGAAGAAAAAATGATTAGTATGCTGAAGTTTCTCATTGACAACACATTTGGAGGAAAAGGTTTTCAGTCGGTTGTCGGCTTTCCTATGGGAACCAACTATGGCCGACCTTTTAAGTTGGAGTTCCTTCAGACACTTGTAACAAAAAGCTCGAAGAAGCTACATCATTTAAATTCAAATACAACTATATTGATGATGCTCTTTCCATTAACAATCCAAATTATCCTTATTCGGTCCCATTAATATATCCTCCTGAACTAGATATTGTAGAAACCACAGATAAAGCTCGTCCGCCTCATTTCTAGACACACACCTCAAATGAATCTACAATGGTCATCTTAGTACAAGAATCTATGGCAAACGAGACGATTTCAATTTTGAAATTGTAAATAAATTTTCCTCGTCTTAGCTGCAATATATCAACTTCTCTCGCGTATGGATTAAATTTTTCAACTAAAACGATGTACAAGAGCTTACAGGTGCTACTCAGACTTTTGCCTCGGTGTTTGAACGAAAAATGAATGAGCCAGGATTTTGTCAAAGAACCTCTCATTTCTTTTTCTCAAAAAGTTCATTGGAAAGTACAAATACCTTGAAGATCAATATTAAGTGGGTGCTTCACAAATAATACAACATGGTGTTGAGCTATATATTCTAGGTGCTAAAATTGTGAATCTTTTTATTTACTTTACAGTTTACCCTTTATTTGTCTGTTAATATGTTCCTTTTGGTTGAATGACTCTTAACGTGACTCGGTATTCATTCATCCAGCTATCGATTTTTTGACGTGATCGATCCTGGTGCAGGTTGGTTCAGGTGTTCAATTCGGCCGCAACAGGTGTTTACAGTGTTGCTCTCATTTTGTTTACCTAGCTGGTATTGATATTTTACTTATCTTGTACTTTATCGAGAAAGTGTATACGATATACAGTATGTACTTTCAACTACAAAAACGTTTTGTTGGCGTCTTCGTCAAACTTTCGAGCAACTACATTGTTTGAATTTTTTAGTCAGTTGTGATGTTTGTTTACACAGGTATGGCTACTGGATCCACATTATCATCATATTAATCTATTATGTTTGTTTCGGTTTGCTCACCGAATTTTGTCAATATAACGGAATTATAAACAACAGTCATACAATTGGGAACTTCAACTAGCTTTAAAACCAGGTGTAACCAACCAATTTGTTAAACAATAAATGTACCAAGTCAGGAATATGACATTAGTTTTCTTTCCATTTGTTTTGTTGGATTGATAGAATTTGGCGTTTGATTTTGTCAGTTTTTATTGACTTCTTCCTCCTTTTGGAATTTACCTTAGAGTGGATATTTTTTATTATACTTTTTTCAACATGACTTGTATCGGTAATTTTGATTAAAGTAAAACCCTGACCGATATACGAATAAACACCATGAAAACAAAACAAAACACCACTTGAAAGATAATGTTTGTAATCGCTGCGGATATTCACACAATTTAATCTCAGTGAATAATCAAGATTTTACAGATTATTCAAATTTGTTTAATTAGTTGTAATGGAGTACTCTGATATCTGAGTCATATTAAACCGATCATTTTACTCCTCTTACGTCATACAGCAATTCAAAAGGCATTGAGAACGTAATTAAAAAGATATTGTTGTTTCTTGCCCGTTCTTTTTTATGAACATTTAAGTCAATGAAATAAAAAAATATCTAATGAAAGAATTGAAATATAACATTTTGTCATACCATGACCGAAAACCAGTGATAATTCAATCATGCGATACGCGCATTCTATTATTAATGGGATAATCGGCAACTCGCATAGAAATTTGTAATATTCGATTTCTTTGATTAGTTATTTATATGGGATTTAAGTAACACTTCTCACTTTTCTTTTATCAAATGCATCAATTGAACGACGCCCATTAACACAAATTTAAAATGAATTTGTCTAGTATAATCTTAAGAGCAAAATTTTGAGTTACAGGACGGAGTACCTACATGTTATCCTGTCCTCGATGGAATGGATCGTTGGTACCCTTTTATGGATTGTACATTATTTCACAGTTGATTATATTATTTTGAAAATATCAATACACTGAATAGTTCGGTCGCAACAATTTGTGTGCAACATGTATATAGATATCAAATATTTGTCAAATCTTTTACTTAATCCTATCACAAATAGAAACCTTAATAATGGGAGTAGGAATCAAAAAAGAGGCATTTCACAATAAAACTGTGATATCTACGTAACTATTTACGGTTGACCTTCATATAACAAGTTTAGGAATTGCCTGGTATTTGTGATTGATTTTAACACTCACCAGTTTTATTTCTGCCATTTATAAATTTATGTATCTATCATAAGTTTATATGCTCCGGAATCATCAAAAGATAATAAATTTGTACACTGTGCAATATATATCACATCAAAACATCGTTACCATTGCTTTTCCATGGTAACCTTGCTGCCAGAGGAACACTATAGCAGAAGACGTATTCAAAGACACAATTTGTGGCTTACTGGAATTATATGCGACTGTCATACCAGGTTTAATTCACAATGTTCTACATAAGGAAATGCCTGTACCAAGTCAGGAGTACGACAGTTGTTTTCTCATTCGTTTAATGAGTTTGAGCTTTTGATTTTGCCATTTGATAAGGGACTTTTTTCGTTTTGAATTTTCCTTGGAGTTCAGTAGTTTTGTTTTACTGTTTAACACTCATGAGAGTATGTATAGTTTTTGATGAGGCTCGTGGAGCCCAGTTTTTAGTTTGCTATGACCATGTTTGTATTTTCGTCAGCTTTCTAATTACAAACAATACTTTGTTATTCACGCAACGGTTTTCACATCAGACATTAAGCGTTTATTAATTCAAATTTAATTACATGTGTAAATTGTATTGTTTTCTTTTCCCATTTTTGTGCATTTTTGTTGACCCATTTGAACGATAAAATGAATTTTGTATTTGTCAAACGTCGACTTTAACTTAAATGTAATTTTACCATATATAATTGATGTTAAAGATATGTTTCAATAAATTGTTATGCGTAAAAGCCAGGACATAAAACATATTCTTTCCCTCCTGAAATAACATTACTGTAAGGTTGAGACTTGTTTTGTTAAAATATAATTGTGTAAACAGACAATAACATTGATACGTTTTACAAAATATAAGGACCATATGGTTTATTTCTTTTACCATTATGCAAGTTTGTGTTTCTTAGATGAATGACCGATTTATTCATGCCATTTATAATCTGGTGTTTTTTTTGCTAAATACAATGCACATAAAAACCGTTATATGACTCTAATATACAATGACTGGTAAATTACTATATTCTTATGATTAAAACAGTGTTTTTGAAGAAAAAACCAAGAATAAATCAACTAATTTTTATTTCTATGTAGTGTTTTGAGAACTTGTTTGTCTGTTAGTGGTTTTTTGGCTAGGTGTTGTCAGATTCTCATCGACTTATGAGTTTTGAATGTTCCTCTGGTATTTTTCGGTTCCCTTTTTAAATTCTTGTTTAGTTTTGGAATGCTTCTTATCTAATCAAGTTCTGCAAGTAATATAATGATATTCTGTATGAGTGTTTGATTTATATATGTATTTTGTAATACACATATCAAAATGAAAACTTTAAATGTAGTGTATAAATTCATATGCAACAAAATTGTGAGGATTGGTGGTTTTCTGGCTTTTTAACAACACGTTTTGGACAAATAAAACATCGAAAAAAGAAAGAACACAATGCAAGATAGGTTGCAAGCGAACCGCAATTGAAAGACTTATCGTTTGAACCATGATTTTCCTAAAAATTGACTGAAATTTTGAGGCGATGAGTGTTTTGCATTTTATGTCCTTTCATGTGGGACTTCCTTTGCACTCCGTTTTTGTTGCATGTTTTTGAAGTTATAAATGTTCATTTAAGTACGTTTTGGAAAACACTCACATTAGTGAACATTTTATGGTAGATGAATATTGTAATATAGCAAACATATATTTGATTATGGATATTTGTCTTATTGGCGATCAAAATACTTTTCCTAATGATGTATACTAAAATAAAAAAGATATCTAACGTAGAGAGATGTAAAATGACAAAGTAAATGCAAACTCTAATATGGCAGTTGTTTTTCGTTCGTTTGATGTGTTTGTGCTTTTGAATTTGCCATTTTGTGAAGGACTTTCCATTTTGAATTCCCCTTGGAGTCCGGTATTTTTGTTATTTACTTTTTTCTCTAACACTAAAAATAACAAAAAAAAAAAAAAGAGAGAGAGAGAGAGAGAGAGAGAGAGAGAGAGAGAGGATACATAGAAAAAGGGGTAGACGAGAAAGAAAGAAAAAGCTCTTACCTGCTAAAGACATGAATCCAATTAATCCAAAGTGAAGTGAAAAGTCCAATATCATTTCATTTCTTAAAATTGTCCTCCTAGTTCTTCAATGCATTACCATTTAGTTGATATCCTGAAATCCCTATGACAAAACACACATTAAACTATTCATTCACTCTTTAGCCACGATCATAGATTTTGCAGTGGTAGGAGTATCCTTTATTTATTCCATTTGGTAGATTAGCACAGAAAAGCAATAGTAACGTCTATACATTGGAGGAACTAAGTGTTATTTATTCTATTCGTTAGATTAGCTACTTCAACACTTCTAATGATTCTGTATTTTCTCCAATGTAATTACTGTCTACTTTATGTGTTGCTAGCAACGATACTAAATGATTGTGTTGTCGCTATGTTATTTGATTTCTCCTCTGCAAGCGGAAACTTGCGACCCCAGGAAATATAAAAATCAGATAAAATGGAAATCTCAACAGTTATACAATTTATACTATTCTCTTACATTTCAGAATACAGCTTATAACAATCAATAATAACAATTGTAAATCTTGATTTTTAAAGCTTTATTGAAAGTAAAATGTACCGAAAAGGAATTATGTTATTAATTCCATATTAAATCGTTGTGAACAGCATCAACAGTAATGGCAAACATGAACTCAGGAACTACTTTTGTTGTTATCTATTTTCTCAAATAGAGAAAATTTACCAATAGAAATGGATTCAAGAATAAAATGAGATATTCAATGAAAATAATGTGCGAAGTAACTTAACGAATCAAAATCACAAAACATCAGCAAGCAGGTTAAGCATGTCTGTGATCCGTTGAAGAATCTTCCTTAGGTTTCCTCGAGATCATTAGATAACCCTTTCGTCCAAGTATGAAAAGTCTGAAAACTTAAAACCCAAAAAGAAAAAAATAGAACTGCTTATGCATTTTAGGAAAACTAGGATGTCTGAGAGTATTGCAACCTTACTTATAAATATCATTCATTTTTTAAAACAGGACAATGATGAAACACTATTTTAAGTTTATTATATTAATTCGATTCCAATTGGGAAAAAAGATTTAGAGTAATATTTGTATGATCTCCGTTGAATTATTATCACATCGTTCAGAGTTTTTATTGATAAACCTTGAGCATCGTTGTAACGTCATATTTTTGACAGTCCAAATCTTTTAATGTTAAACCATGACAGACAACACCGTGAAAATCTAGATCATGAAAATATTATTTCTTTGTTCTTTAGATTGTCTGTTACAATCACAGTTGAGTATTGATACTAAAGTTAATATCATGTGCTGAGAAAAGATAATCAGACCCTTCACAAACCCCCATTGTGTAGCGTAGATAGTAAAACAGATGATTAGTCTTATTTTGTAACAAATTAATAATAATTAACGGTCAAAGGAAAGTGGCCATAACAATTGCTATATAGGATAAAGGACGTACCAAGTGTTATTTCATAAACTGTAAAAATAGAAAAATCCATACTTTGAATGAATTTCTTTTACAAGTAGGCATACATTTAATTTAAAAAGTATAAACAAAATATCGAACTCTGCGGTAAAACCTGGCGAAATTAAACAATGGACTTTATTAACCAACGGACGAATTGAAAACAACCGTCATATTGCGGACTTGATATAGGCATATTCTAAAGAAAATAATAAAACAAATTGCATGTAGAATATCGTTTCATCTAGGAAGTTTGATTATCAAGACGACTTTAGATTTGAAATCGTTCACTTCCTGTTCACAAACAGTGAACGTTTTGATTCGAGTGTCACTGATGAGTCTTTTAAAGAGGAAAGGCGCGTCTTGTGTACAAGAAATTGAAGCTGGTATCGTTGATGAGTTCATTTACATACTTTGTTTGTAGCAAATTTCAATCAGCGCATGTATATGGAGTTTCTATCTGGCAATTGATACTATATTCAAGAACTTTCATTTTATATTTTGATTTCCTTGAAAAGAGTTAATGCTTATTTTGGAAATTATTACGTCAGGGTTCTAAATGGTAAAGTTGAAGACGTCCCTCCAACAGTTTTACGGACGCCATCAGTGATTGGTTGACTATTATGAAATATATCTGTATCATAGATTACCAGACACTTATCTCCGGATTTCTACTTACATGAACAACACGACGGGTTTTACTAGTAGAACAGATCTACGTACGCTTCTTGATTACCTGAACTCATCGCCTGGTAATTAGGGTGGGGTTCATGTTGCTCATTAAACGTTTAATTTTGATTTTACAATCATTTTGTCGTTTGCCAATTTTAGCGGATAGGTTAAGCGCGTGTATTTTCACAAAGGGTGTGCGCCTGTCTCAAAAACTGTTCCAGACAAGTTATAATGAGAACGACTGAATTTGAATATAGGGAAGTTTTGCAAGCATCATCACTATTGGTTTAATTGATTCAATTGTGTCCTGAGATATGATTTTCCGGTTCTAAATCTTTACATAGGCGATTGGTTTCTGATCTGTTCGTGTACCGATTGTGTCATATCAGCTTTATTGTCGTTTTGACTGAAATGGATTTGCATGTTGAGTAATGCATATTAGCAGCAATCACGTAAGATGTCGACGTACTTATTTCGTTTAGTGCGCATGGAATTTACAAAGTTTTTTTCGCGTAAGGTTCTAAAAAAGGATAGCATGTTTTCATGCAATATCAAAATGTAGTTTATATCATGCTCATTTATATTAAAAAAAAATTTAACAAAAAAAAATGGATTATAGAACATTTTGATGCCACAGTTTGTCCACAATTGTCCGATTTTGTAAAGGCTTATACACTGAAAACTGACTTTTGTGTGAATAAAAAGAAAACTATTTATTATAGATAACAATAAATTTGAAAATTCATTGAGAAGAAAGCTCTCATAATGTGCGTTCTGTAAATGGATATTAAATTTTGGGTTACCGTATTCGTTTTCTTGCTACAAAACATGTAAATTGATTGAATATTCCTGTATGATTAAGACTATATGAATTATCTCCCCTTATATTGCTAAGTTAAAAAATCGAATCAAAAAGTCTGTATTTGCAAACACAGTCGACATAATAAGATAAATTGCATAGTGTTCATCATTTAGACGAAAAGTCTTACAAATAAATTACATTGCTGTCTCAAGTTTTGTATTTTTTATTAAATGTATAAATCGATGATTTTCTGCTTTTTCAAAGTCCAAAATGGTGGAGTACCCAAATCGTCCTAAATCTATATCTATCAAATTGACTAACGAGATTTATCCAGCGGTAAGCAAATGTTTGGTTTTTAAGTGTCCAACATTTCGTTCTTTCTAGTTGAAATAATGACCAATTAAAATGATTGATATATGATATGCAGCCTGCCATACTCGGTATATGTTGGCATTTATAATACCAAGAATGCTCGTTTATTCTAGCTTATGTGTATCCCCAGTTAAAAAGAAACGTTTTTGTTTTGATATTCACTTGTAGGATTGCATAATTTCAGCGAATTGTACTTTTTTTTTATTTTGATTCGTGTTCTTATTATCTATTGTATTTCATGACACATGCCAATTTACCGGTTACTGCCTGTGCGTGCAATTTTCGTGTACAACGTATGCCTGGTTAAGGTGTTTAATTTGTACAATATACATGTTCCCAATGTGCTTGTAGGTGCCTTGCGTATTCTTGAAATTTATATATTACTGTTTACTTCTATAATGTAGTACAGTAGTACTTATACAACTATATAATTGTGGTTTGGTATAAACTAAGAAATTTCATAATTTTGCAAATTTGAAATTTGTCGTTGTCACATTGCATTTCCAGACCAAAGACGTACTTTACAGATTAAAACAACTGTAAAATCAATTCCTAGCGACATTTCCAATTGCTTATAGATTTTTCATAAAATGAAAGGATATGCAATACTGATGACTAAGGGAACATGCTATGGTCTCAAATATCATATCTTATATTATATGCTTTATTCATTATGATGATGTTTTTTTCAACCTCTGAATTTGAATTATGTTTATTGACGTCTCGTGGTAAAATACGATATATATCAATTGGCTACTATATCAACAGCTTTGAATAAACAAAACATTAAAACCGCTGACCATTCCAAAACAAATCCGTTTGCTCCTAGATTGTTGGTGTGATGGATGACGGTTAATCTTAAGTTTGTTTGTGTAGGGTTTAAACCTAGAAGTAAAATAACAAAAATACCGAACTCCAAGGAAAATACAAAACAGAAAATCCTTTATAAGATGGCAAGATCAAAAACTGAAACACATCAAACGAATGGAGCACATCTGTTATATTCCCAACTTGGTGCAGGCATTTCCTTATGTAGAAAATTGAAGATTATAGCTAGCTAAACCTCTCACTTATTTGACAGTCGCAAGGAACTTTTTTTTCTTTTGAAGTTTTTAGCTTGTGATGTCTCTCATGGCATTTTCAATCTGAAGGGAAGTATAACGCATTTTCGTAAATGACTAAACGCATCTATCAAAAGTTTCAAGTCCTTTCTTAAAATGACCTTTCTTATATATTCATCCCTAGCCCTAACATAAAATTTCACTTTTCTTACTTCATGAGCATGATTCAAGATTGGTACCCTCGAGTTTAAAAGTCCACTAACAACAGTACTGACCAAATGAAAACAACATCTCGTGCTGATTTCTGTTTGCACGACCCAGAGTTCTTGAACTGTGTTTGAAAGAAAAGGGAAACAATAAAATTGAGAGCAGATTAAAAAGAGAAAAAGGCACAAACAGCTTAATAAAACCCTTAAATAATGGAGTATTAAAATTAATAATTCACACTAACATGATTTACTTAAAGCAGAAGTTGGTTCTTTTATAATGAATAAAAATGGACAATTTCTATGAATGACGACAATTATAGAAATTATGTTTTCACATTATTTTTTGTGTATTAATTTGTAATTTACTTCTTCTAATACTGTAGATATTTTAAATGCGTTTCTGATTTCAAATATAATAGGAAAACGTGATTAACCTGTTGAATGAAATCATTTCAAACATCTTATTTTAAAACCTTTAACAAAAAGTTTTCTGTAAAATGTACTATGGATGGTATATTCCATTGAACTTTAAATGTTTTCTTTTCTGTAGTCGATTTTGAACTACCAGGTCTTTTTTTGCAGAATAATATTCCCTTTGTCTGTTTAGATACATCTTAAACTTTGGACATGTTATGGTTATTACTATTGCTTCTAAAAAAAATCCATCTAAAATGTCCTCTTGAAGTCGCTAAATATCTATCTTAACCTAAAACTCTGTAAATACATTTGATAAATATTTATTTCAATTTTCTATCAATTTCAATTTTTTTATTTCTTATGTTACGTTCTTCTCGCAGAGATGCAAAGAAAAAACCCCGATATTTTCATTAAATATTGTCCGCTGTCCTCCTTTGTCAATCTATTCTATTTCGATTG